TATAAAGAACTCAAGAAATTAGTCATAAAAAGAATAATCCATTAAAAACTGGAACTCTCAGCAGAGTAATCTAAAATGGCTGAAAGACACTTAAGGAAATGCTCAACATCCTTAGTCATCAGAGAAATGCAAATCAAAACAACTCTGAGATTCCATCTTACAACTGTAAGAATGGCCAAGATCAAAACACTGATAACAACTTATGCTGGAGAGGTTGTAGGGAAAAGTTAACACTTCTGTATTGCTAGTGGGAGTGCAAGCTGGTACTGCCCCTTTGGATGTCAGTGTGGCGATTTCTCAGAAAATTAGGAAATAACCTTCCTCACGACCCAGTAATACCACTTTTGGGTTTATATCCAAAGGATGCTCAATTGTGCCACAAGGACATGTGCTCAACTATGTTCATAGCAGCATCGTTTGTCATAGCCAGAACCTGGAAACAACCTAAATGCCCCTTGACCAAAGAATGGATAAGAAAAATGAGGTACATTTACACAGCAGAAAAAAAACAACAACATCTTGAATTTTGCAGGCAAATGGATGGAGCTAGAAAACATCATTTTGAGTGAGGTAACCCAGACCCAGAAAGACAATTATCATGTACTCACTCATAAGTGGTTTTTAAACATAAAGCAAAGAAAACCAGTCCACAAATCACAATCCCAGAGAACCTAGACAACAATGAGGACCCTAAGAGAGACACACATAGATCTAATCTAGTGGGAAGTAGAAAAAGACAAGATCTCCTGAGTAAATGGGGAGCATAGGGACCTTGAGAGAAGGTTGAAGGGTAGGGGAGAGGCAGGGAGGGAAACAGAGAAAAATGTAGAGCTCAATAAAAATCAATTAAAAAAAAGTTTTAACCTCGCCTCTAAAAAAAACAAAAAACAAAACAAAACAAAAAACAATTCCCCCCCCCCCCCCAAAAAAAAACCCTAAAGGATTTCATGAGAACCACAGTCAGAGATGACTCTGTAATCAAGTCTGGGGGAAGCTGGAATAGCTCAACAGCTCTCTTTCCTGCCCGAAGGCACAGCCTAGAGCCCTGCCTCCTGCCCACTCCTTTTCTCATTGGACGGACTCTAACCCGGGAGAGTGCTGATCTTTTCTGATTTCTGTTGGCATGTTGGCCAGCAGGATTTTGCCCAGACAGACTGGTTTCAGAGTCTGTGCTCTCAATACAGCCTTAAAGCCCAAGAGGGAGTTATGAAATGCCTAGGGTTATACTGTGAGGTGGTGGCAGCAGCAGGAATAGAACTCATGTCTTCATACCTGACCCTCATTCGACATAAGTAAACAAAACTAATTTGTGGAGAAAATTTTTTACTTTTTGTTTGTTTTATACATACATATATATGGAGAGAGAGAGAGAGAGAGAGAGAGAGAGAGAGAGAGAGAGAGAGAGAGAGCGAGCACCTCACCATGTATTGGAACTTGCTATGTATTATGTATACCAGATCTATCTGCCTCTGCCTCCCAAGTGCTTCGGTTAAGGCATGCAACACTTTATCTGGCAAAAAATACTTTTATTTTTAATTATGTGTATAAGTGTGTACCTGTGTGTGAGTTTTTGCATGTGCCCACAGAAGAGGGTACCAGATTCCTCCTGGAGCTACAGTTGCAGGTAGCTGTGAGCTACCCAAGGATGACATGCATTCTGGGACCCAAATTGGATTCTCTGCAAAAGCAGAACACAATCTTAACTACTGAACCATTACATTTTGTTTTGTTCAGGATCTTGTGTAGTCCCGGCTGGCCTTGAATTTGAGAATAATTGTGAACTTCTGATTCTCCTAATTCCAGCTTCTGAGTGCTGGGATAACAAGAATGCACCACCACACTAGGTTTCTGTGGTATTGGGGATTCTGTGTGTGCTAGACAAGCACTCGACCAACTGAGTCTTTGTTAGTTAACAAATGACTTTGTTGTTAGTCATTTCCAAAAAAGATGTGAAAATAGCAGAGACAAAGTCACACTGGAGAAAAGAAGGGAAGAAGCTAGGAAAGGAGGAAAATATAGGAGAAAAGGCATCCATGCAATCACAGTGGTGGTGCTTAGGACTTTAAGGATAGCGAGGCAAACAAGACCATGGTATGTGAGGACAGGGAAGAAAAGTCAGTGCTTAAGGCACTACAGCTGAAAAACAGGATACAAAGCAAGGGGGTAGAGGTGAGGAGAAAAGACGCCTGGGCGGACCACAGATGTGAGTAATCCTGGTTCCACACACACGGGGCATTAGAGGTGAACCACTGAGGGCAGAGACTGTCAACAAGTCCCACGCTGCCCAGGGAGCTTACTGAAGGATGTCATGTTCCCTTAAGACCCCAGAGCTTTACTAAAAATGCAGTGCCCGGGCTTCTTAGACCTGTCAATCAGAACCCAGGGGAAGAGTCAGATGACTCATTGGAGGAAAAGGTTCGGATGCTCACTGGGCATGGTACAGTTTGAACAGAGGAGCAAAGCCTAGTGGTCAGAACAGATTCTGAAGGTGAACATCCTGTATCTGCCTTCCTTTTCTGCTAGGACCTTGAGCAAGCCACACAACAAGCTCCTACTAGAGCTCAGTCTCCCCATCTGTAAAATGGGGACTGAACCCCAGGAAGTCTTTTTCCCTGGTTTGGCTTTACTTCCTCAGATCCCTGTGAACTTTGTGTAGACAGGCTCCCACTGTGAGTTCATGTCTACTCTGAAACACAACAGAGGACAAGAGGAAACAAAACATGAGTTTGCCTCTCTGTGAGTGGAGAGGAAGCCTCATCCATGGGTCCTCCGTTCCCTACGTTCAAACCCTGTAGACCAGACCTGAAAACAGGCATGGCTGCCTTACTCATACCTTTCATTCTGAAAGGAGTCTGACTTTCAGAAGACCCAGAGGAGAGTGAAATCATCTGACTGAAGAGCAGGCCATGCAGCCCTTGGCCTTCCAAGGGCCTGCATAGGCTTGTACTGCATTCATCTCCTACCAGTATCTCCCCCAGCCCAACATCTCTACTATTGCCAGCAACTGTTAACAGGGCCTTTGTTTAAAGGTCCATGAATTCAGTCACGGAACTTTCTAGAAAGCATGAGTTACTCTTTAAATTGCAGCATCTTTCATAAGCACTCTGGGTATTTCTGGAGCAAGAATCTGTAGCGGTATGGTTGGAGGAACAGTCGAAACCACCATGTCCCCAGCCTACTAGCTGGAGTTGGCCAGGTAAATTATGTAACAACTTCAAAATCATGTTGAACGATAAGCAGTTTATCTCCCTAATATGAAAGTAGTAGTTGGCAAACATATAAAGCTAAAATAGTACCAAATAGGAAAATCATTTTGAGTCCCACCATCCTGAGACGATGATGACCTGGAAAACTGCTCACACAGGGATAATATGATGACACAAGCATAGGGAGACTGCCAGGTGGGGGCTGTGCCCGTCACTCCACCCAGTCTGGCTGGTAAAGCAGCAGGCATGAATGGCATGTCTCCAGTAGCTAATTTAGTCACTCTGGAAGTTTCCACAACTCATTTTATTCTATCATTCTTGGGTCCAGGCCAACTACCTCAGGAGCAAAAAAGCAGTCAAGACCTTTTGCTGCCCACGGAAAGACCTACAGGCAGCAAACTTCTCTCAACAGTGTCTCCTTTCCTTGTGCTAGGAATGTGTAGACCCTGAGGATGCACATGAATGAGAGAAGGCACCGGGTAGCATTCGAATTGCTTAGCAGGGGAATGATAGCAGGCAGGAGCAGAGAGGCAGGGTGACCTGGGGAGGGAACAAAGCCACCTGTGGGAGGAGAGGCAAGTGTCTGGAACAGTTGGGAAGCAGGAGGCAGGCTCTCCTCAACTACCACTACCATATGGAACAATTCCACTTCCCTACAAAGTTCAAAACCTCTGATACCCCTGCCTTCCTCACTCCTTCTGTATTTTGAACTATGAAAGAAAGAAAGACCTAAAGAAAGAAAGAAAAGAAGGAAGAAGGGAAGAAAGAAAAAAAGAAAGGAAGGAAGCAAGGAAGGAAGAAAGAAAGAAAGAGGATCTAGAATCAGCACAGCCAGACTTACAAGAAGGGGCCGTAGCTTTAGTTGGCAGGTCTTGTGTTGAGATATGTAAGCGCAGGGCGCCAGTTGTGTTCCCACTGGGGATAATAAATCTGTGTCTCTGGCAGTTTATCTGTGCTTTATGAAGGGCGGCACCTCACAGAGGAGGGACCGTGGCCAAAAAACAGAGTCGTTCACAAAGGCTTGTTTTCTTTTTTCTAATTTGGGGTTAAACTTGAAGAAAAGCACCTTCGTTTTTTAACCAGACACTTCAAAAAGGGACGAAAGCCAGTGTGCTGCCGTTGACTGCCTGGGCACCTTTATCAAGGGGTTCCCATCTATTTTCCGTGTAAGAGATCAGCAGGAGGTGGAGTGTCTCTCTACCAAACAGCCTGGGTGGGCTTCCTGTCTTAGATTCCGAGACATTCTTTGTGAGATGAAGAAACTGATAGGATTTCCTCAAAGAGGAAGCAAGCGTCATTCTCTAAGGGAGAACCACCTCACCAGGAAAAGACGTCTGTTGAAAACGCTACTTTCAGATTCCGGGGGCAAAAAGCATAGGGAAGTAACTAGTTTTAAAGAAACAAACCCAAGAACGTGTCCAGGTCAGGCCGATCTGGGGGTGTGTGCTCAGTGCACGCGCGTGGGCTGCGCTGAACCCCGCAGGGCCTCCCCTTGGAGGAAACCTTTCTGCAATGCCTCGAATCTGGCTAGACCCCGGGAAGGGACCGCGGACAGCTGTCATCACTCTCTTCACCCACTTGGGGCTGGCCTGGTTGTAGTGACTGACACCCTGCAGGAGGGGACAAACTCCAGAGCAACAGCCCGCTTCACCTGCAGCGCCCCCAGCCCTACTCCAGCTGTGACAGCATCGCTGACAACCTCCTCTCCAGCCCTGGGCCACGGCCTGCGAAGATCTCCCGAGGGCCGCACAGCCGCCCATCTCCGTCCCCTCCGCTGCGAAACGCAGAACTCACCGCCATGGTGCGCGCACTGGGCGGCCGCCCGGGTCGCGTCAGTCCGCTCGCGGCTCCGGACTCGGCTAGATTGCAGCTGCTACCGCACCCCCGCCGCGCGGCTCACGTGGCCAGGGCGAGGCGGCGCGCGGGAGCCTGGGAGTTGTGGTCCTCACTCGCCCCACCTCACGACCCAGGCCACGCCCCCCCCGCGGGGGACCCGCGGTCCCACCTCCCCCCCCCCAGTCCAGGCTTCTCTGACGCCGGGTTTCCTCAATCCCCAACAAACCCGGCCGCCTGCAATTGACTTTGCCTTGGCAATTATCATAAAAATGTTTATTGCTTTTTTATTTGATCAGACACCTAAATAATCATCCCAGAAACACAATAGCAACAATTAGGAGTACATTAAATCAATAACGCTCCAGTTGCCACTTTATCCTCTCTAGTTTGATAAGCTAACAGCAGTGCACAGTTGTAATTTTCTTTCTTGTGTGCATTGAACTATGATTATGTTTCTTTCTATATTGCACAATTTTTCCTCTTCCTTGTAGGTAATACAAAATCTTAGTTCTCTTGGCTACATTAGCAGATTATCACAGACTGAAGGCTTATAAATCATGGGCATTTATTTCTCACAATTCCCAGTCCAAGATAGGATACAGATCCCAAGTCTCCCCAGGGCTGCTTTTGGCTTGCAGACCGCTCTCTTCTCAGTCTCCCTTCACACATACTAATTTGTATTTATTACTAGGTTAATAAGCTTTTTCTCTTAGTAGTATTTCCGTTTTTGTATACTGTTTTTTGTTTCATTGACCTAGTTTTAGCAGGGATGTATATCAAACTTTAAACACTATTTAAAACTTTCTTTTCTAAAAGTCAACAATCTTTTATATAAGCTATTAAATACACTTGGTAATCCTTTGCCAACCAATCTGCCCATACATTCTCTTACAAGAATTCTTATCCAGGGTTAGCTGAGACCTTGAGACTGAAATCTGCTCTTTCAACTCAAATCCTAAGTTCTGGAGTATTAGCCATGAGGTCTCAGACAAACTGCTTTACATATCTGAGGTTCAGCTTTCTGATAAGATTTTTAAAAGTGTAATAAAGTCTATGTTATAGAGGTGTTGAAAGGCTTAAATGAAAACATGTGTTGAGTTCTCAGCATTAAACCTGGCAGTGGAACGTTGCTTGATAAATGGAAGCCATTGTCATCATTAACAGCAAACATTTCCTCCCTCTGAGAGAAAGCCACCTGCAGAAGGTTAAGCCATTGCTCAGGGTCACCAGCTTCTGGCCAAGGCTAAGGAGGCTGTGCAGCCTGAGGGAAAGCAGGGCACACAAAGGAGATCTGAGCAGGGATTTGGGTTGTTGTTTTTTAACCCTCTGTACCTCCTGACAGAAGCAGGCAAAGCAGGCTCTTGTGCCACTGCCTGCCCCTTCCCTCTCAGAGGTCACAGAAAAATTAGCGACATATGCTCATTCATTTGAAAGTTTTCATTGACTTTGTCGAAATTGGGTGACTTTCATGCTTAGCTTCCCCGTGGATGTTATGGCTACGGCCTTTAACCCTACATCCTAACGCTGCTGGCTTCTCCTGAGCCACCAGAGGCCGCCCCTTCTCTGGCTCCCAGGTAAGGAACTGGACTGCAGATTCAGAATTCTAGACCTTAAGGTTACATCAGAGCTGCCCACACCTTGGTCTATGTCAGGATTCTCTCCAGGTTCTCTTTGGACAGCCTGTGGACTCACTTCTCCCTATCTCCATGGCACACACCTGGAGCCTGAGACAAAACCCTAGGTAGGAAAAATGACAGCACCCAAAGAGAGGCAAAGGGCCCTTTAAGTGGGTACTGAGCTTGTCCAGAATCAGCTAGCAGTGAGAAAATCTGACTAGTCATTCCTTTATCTGAGGTTTAACAGAGGAACTCATAGAAAGGCCACACATACACAATGTTACTTCAGTGAGGCATCTGATTTTCCTGGGGAACCATGTACTAATGTTTATTTAGCCAACAGAGCCCCAACGACAGGTCAAAAACATGACCCAACCAAGTCCAACCTGATGAACCAGTGAGTTTAACTGGGCTTACTTTGAGAAGCATGGGTTAGGGGTAAAATACAAGAGCATGAGCAACTTAGGGACAGTTACATCACTGAAGAACAGTCTCTGCTCCCCCTCAATGGTTATCCTTCATGAGGGGTGGAGTTCCATATCCCATCTTATGACCCACTCCCCAAGAGGGAGTGGACCCTCCCTCCCCCTTGGGAGGGAATGTTAGGGGATTCCAATATGGTGAAGGTCTCTTGTGACTTATCACGGTTTCTCTGAATTCAGGATAGTTATGACCATGACATGCCCAGAGCACAGCAGTCCACAGTGGCACACAGGTCAACGTACGCACACACGGACTTGTGCTAGGGTTAGTGTCATGTACCATGAACACCCAGCTGCAGAAATTTTTGTTCATTTTGATTATCTTTCTTGGTAATTGTGTGTGTGTGTGTAAGATGAGAGACATAGATAGCAGGCAGGTGTGTCACAGTGTTCACGTGATGGTCAGAGCACAACTGATTTGTTTCCATTTTGTTTGAGGTAGGGTTTCTGTCATTCACTGCCTCACACTGTAGGTTAAATGACCTTTGAACTTTGCCTCCCATCTCCTTGTGTGAGCACTGGGATTGCAGTCAAGCACTAAACATGTTACTCACTGGGCAATCTCCCCAGCACCCTTCTTTTTATTGATAGGCTCTCTCTGTGTAGCCCAGCTGGCCTTGAATTTACAACAACCCTACTGCCCACCTTTCTGAAAGCTGAGATCACAGGCATTTACCACACTGTCTGGGGGCTTGTTTATTTATTAATGTATCATGCTTCACACAATGCCTTCAGGCAGTCCAGAGATGTAGTCAAGAAAAAAAGAATGAAATGTGTGAGGCAACGAGTCTGAATGATCAAAGGAAAGTAATGAAGTTCTTTAGAAGAGCCCGTGGAACATGCTGCACATGGTGGATGCTCAGGTGTTGGTGGTTGTGAGGGAACTGGCTGGAGACAAGGCTAGGCTGGGGACCAGACTGGGGCAGAGAACTGTCACAGTAAGGACTCTCAGCAGCTTCAAGGATTCAATCAACTAGAGACTTTGCATTTTCTAGAAGTTTGAGATGTTAATTCTATTCCTAAGCTCCAGGTTCATCCTCCGTGTGGGCCTCACCACCATCAGGACCCTGATGTCTTTTCTTGCTCCTGAACACGACCTTACTCATCTGGATGACTGCATCCCAAGGGTAGCGTCTCAGGATTCCTATTGCATATGTTCCAGCTCACAAGGAGCCACAGACTCGCTCATGTTCCTTTCCCTTGCTAGAGAATGTACCATGCTTCTTCTTCTAGGCCTCTGTTCTCCTAGCTTCAAAAGAGTCTCAGAGAATTTGGGATGCACCTAAGAGCCTGTATTCCTGTGAGTATAGACTGTCTACCCATCTTTTTCTGAAGTTTATGAAGTATGCTGGAGAGAGCGATCAGGGACCAGTCAGCTTCTCTTCTGGAGTGTATTAGTTTCCTCTGGCTGCTATAACACATTCCCTGACAACTTAAAGTGTTTATTCTCTTAGAGTTCTGTTGATTTGAAGATTGAAAACAGGTTCACTGAGGGTTACCCTGCCCCAGAGACTCTAGGGAGAGTATGGTTCCTTGTCCCTCCCTTCCCAGCTTCTAAAGCTGCATTCCTTCACTTGGGGGTCAACAGCTTTTCTGTCTTCAGAGTCAGCAGTGATGTGGCACCTTTACCTTTACCACAACCTTGTGTTTCAGGAACTCTTTCCCCAGAGACCTCTTGTTTCAGGGCACCAACACCAGTCTATTTCAGAGTCTGTGGTTGCTTGTTTTGGGCCCCTGGATCTGACAAGCCCCTTCTCCCCTGTCTCCTCAAAATGAATGAATCTGAAATATAGAATAGATGATAGTGTATTTTCTTTATTTTTGCCAAATACAAATAGACTAAACATTATAACTGTAATTCTTGCTTGATACCTGTTTAGTTATATAAAATTTTAATACGTTAAAGTTAAACCCTTATTATTAAATAAACAGAAATGGGGAGATGATGTGGGATGCCCCTCTGTATACTGTGAATATATTTTATTACCATTGGTTAATAAGAAGCTGATTTGGCCAATAGCCAGGCAGAATATAGCCAGGCAGGAAATCCAAACAAAAATACAGGGAGAAAGAAGGCAGAACTGGGAGCAGCCACTGGGGAAGCAAGATGTGAGGTAACAAACTACAAGTCTCATGGTAAAATATAGAATAGAAATGGGTTAATTTAAGTTGTAAGAGCTAGTTAATAATAAGCATTTGCTAATAGCTCAAATAGTTTGTAATTAATATTAAGCCTCAGAGTGGTTATTTGGGAACTGGTGGACAGGAGAGAAACCCCCAGTTAAAAGTTTATTAACTTAGAAAGCCAATGATCTTATTGGGCTTTCTTTTAGTGCATGGATGAAGAGTTACTTACAGGAGTATGGGGGACCCCAAAGCAACTACATCACTGTGAAGTCTCATTCCAGCTTGACGGAATCACCCCTTCAGTTAACCTTCTATGGCCTATAGACTGTAGCCCCTCCCAGGGCCATGAAGTCACATGCAATCAGGGCAGAATAATATATAGCAGGCTGGAAGGTCTAGGAGGGATTGTGGTCAGAATCTCAGATAAAGGTCCAGTGATCCTCTTTACCCCCTCTTTTTTGAGGGAGCATCAACATTCAACAGGTCCAGTTCTGAAGGTCTCTTGAAAGTGATCTCAGCTGCTCTTTGAAGTCAGACGGTTATACTTGGATGGCAGCAATCTACAACACCTCTCCTCAGCCTTTTCTGCCTTCTTCCAACCCTTGTGAATATATCTAGGCCTATTCAGACAACCTAAGATCATCTCCCCATCACAGGATCCTTCACCGGAGCACATGTGCAAATCCTTTTTTCACTCACTGGTTCCTAAACTAGGATGTGGGTGTTTTTATAGGGCTGTTGTTTAGCCTACCATAGCTATACCTTATTTCCTACCTGGACAATCCTGCAGCTCAGCCAGAGCAAACATCAGGTCTACAGACAGCTGAGAGAGAATGTTTTGCTTTTGTGTGGCTGTGGATCCATTCGTTGCTGAGGCCAGGGTTAAGAAGGGCAGCACTCATCCGTTCAGTCCACTGCCGCTACCAAGGACTCACACACCTCATCCTGTAGGAGGAGACTCTATGTGTTCCTGTCAAAGCTGCACCAACCTCTGAGACCAGATGTTCAAACTGACCCATAGGACAGACTGGCCTGAAGAACAGGGTTATCCATGTCCCAGTCATCAAATGGCAACAGATCACAATTAAAGTCATGGAAAGGCAGGGGATATAACTCAGTTGTTTGAGTGCTTGCTTAGCAAGCATGAGGCCCTAGGTATCAATCCCTAGTAACACATGAACATGGTATGATGAAATGCCTTTAATCCCAGCTCATGGGGGGGGTGGGTGGGTAAAGGCAGGAGATTCAAGGTCATTCTTGGCTACATAAGACTCAGTCTCAAAGAAAACATTAAGAAAAACAAAATTGTGTGGGGCAGGAGTGATGACTTGATGGTTAAGAGTGCCTGCTGGCGTTTCAGAGGACCCAGGTTTGGTTCCCAAGACCTATGTCAGGCAGCTTGTAACTCCAACTCCCGGCAAACCAATACCCTCTCATAGTTTCCAGACACCCACACACACCACCACATACCACCATACACATTCTCTCACAATTTAAAATAAAATAAAACAACTATTAAATTAGTGAAATACACGTAGTTGGGGCTGGAGGAGATAACTTAAGTGGTAAAAAGTGCTTGTTACGCCAGCTTGAGGACCCGAGTTCAAACTGCGAGAGCCTGGAAACCATGTAAAAACCTGGACATAGTCATTCATGCAGAAACAGGAGGATCACTGGGACTCCCTGGCTATCAGGCTAGCTGAAGATTCAGTGAGAGACCCTGTCTCAAGGGAATAAGGTGGTGAATCATAGAGCAGGACATTCGATGTCTTCCTGTGGTTCCCAAATGTACGCACAGATGTGTGTTCATAACACACACGTATACCACATATCATAAAGTTGATTGTGTTAACCATTTCAGAGTATGGAATTCAGCAGTGTTAAATACAATTATAGGGCTGTGCAACCAATGTCCAGAACTCTTTATCTTGAGAAAGTGAAATTCTATACTCCTGATTCCTTCCTTTCTGCAGTCCCTGGCAGCTACCGCTGTGCATTCTGTTCTGCCTCTGTGACCTCACAGCGTTTATAACTCAAATAAAGGGAACCACGCAGCCTTTGCCCTTTAACATAATGTAACATCTTCAGGCTTTTTCCATGTGGGAGTAGGTGTCTGAGTTTCCTTACCCTTTAAGGCTGAAAATATTCCACTGTATGTACAGACCATTGCTGTATTCATTCACCACGGTCGGGTTGTCCCCACCGTCTGGCTAATGTGAATGATGTTGCTGTGTGTGTAGGTGGATAAAACTGAAGTTTCCCAAAGGCAGGTCTTTATCAAGCATATACTCTGCCAGTTCTTATGGAAAGATACTCTGTTTTATTTTTCTGCAGCTGCCAGCTGCTACTCTGTCCTGAGACATGCATCCTCCAGAATATGTCCCTGAACATCACCACCTGACTCAGCTGAACTTTCTTTCTCAACCCCAGGTAAAGGTGGGTTAAGGCAGATTTCACATGGAGGGTGGAAATTGTGCTCCATGGCAGGTTTTTCTCTGCTTGTTTCCTAGAAACCCTGAAAAGATCCAAATAGGAATGTTTTGTTAGCACCCTTTGGTTGGTCTGCTGGTCTGTTTGGCTCCTAGTGTATCATGGACCCAGTGATTGCTTGATGCTGGAGGACAACGGCAGCTGGGAAAACCTGTTTTTTTGGTGGTGTGGGGAGTATTCGTCTGAACCAGATAAAATGGCCAACAGTCAGTCGTTCCTTTAACTTTCAGAGATGGCAGTTTCATTTAGTTCAAGCACTAGTTGAGGTACCTGTAGGGAGACCGTCCCTCTCCTGTGTCTGAGAAGAAGGAAGACTTGAGAAACGAGGCGGGTGGGGGTGGAGTGGGGCACTGCCCCAATTCTGACTGCAAGAGCTGTTCTCTTCAGGGTCACCAGGTGGGCCCTTGAATGAGCCTCAACTTTGCGTTGTCAGGAGGGTGCTTGAGCGAGTTTCAGTCCAAGGCTGTCTGGTTAGCATTATGCTAACTAGGAGCCCACTTTGCAGTTCCAATCCACAGTTCTCTTGCAGGCTTTGGAAGATGGACTGCCGTTGCTAAGTACTGGCCCAATAGGAATTCACACATAATTACTACTTTGAGCAGCCTCTATCCTAAAAGGCAGCTTACTCACTGACTGTAGAAACTGCCCAGGACCTGGGGCACAGGGTAGGCAAGTGCCATGTGTGCCTTTTCTCTTCCCTCCCCTCCGCCCTCCTTCCCTCCCTCCTTCCCTTTCTATGTGGCACAGGGGGTTCAACTCTAGGCCCTGCACATGAAAGGTAAGCACACTATCATTGAGTTACATTGTAAACCTTTTGTTCTTGTGAATCCCCACAGTTCTTTTTTTTCCTCCTTCAGTTCTAGAAGATGAACCTAGGCCCTCTTACAAGCCAGATAAACTCTCAACCACCAAGCTATGTCCCTATGCACTGTTACAGTTTTTATTTGAGTCAAGGTCTCATTAGGTTATACAGGCTGACACTGATTCACTCTGTAGCCCAGACTGGGCTGTGTTTGCTGGTTTTCTGCCTTAGGTTCCAGCACAGCTGAAACTGCGGGCCTATCCCACCAGGCCTGGATAGTCACACCTCTCTCCCTCTCTTTTTTTAAATCCTCCTCCTTCTTCTCATTTTAAAAATTAAAAATTAATTTATTTTGTGTATATGGGTGTTTTGTCTATGAACCACTTGTATGCCTTGTGCCCACAGAAGCCAGAAGAAGTTATTGAATCCCCTGGAACTGGGGTTACAGACAGTTCTGAGCCATTGTGTGGGTGCTAGAAATCAAACTTGGGTCCTCTGGAAAAGCAAGCCAATGCTCTTAACCTCTGAGCCATCCCTCTAGTCCCTAGATAAGCATTTTATAAAGAAATTCATACTAAGGAATACTTTATTCAACTTGATAAAGGATGTGTGCAAACTGAAATTGAGACACAGTGGTATTTCAGAGGGAAATATGAGGAAACCCACTGATAAAGAGTTGAAACTTTATTCATCCAGCAGACACCTTCCTGTTATTGGGTCTCAGGGATTACAAAACTCTGAACCTCCTAGAAGTTGGTAATTGAGTAGAACAAACTTTTTTAGACCAGACTGTCCTTGAACTCACAGAGATCCACCTACCTCTGCCTCCCGAGTGCTGGGATTAAAGGCGTGTGCCACCACTGACATGCTAGAGGGGAACAAAGCTTTTTGATACCCAATTGTACAGACATTCTTTCTAATCATGCCCAAATCTTCCTTTTGGAGATTGGCAGAGAGAGACCAGCAAGGTGTTATGGGTGAGATGTCATCCAATGTGTGAGGATGTGAGTGGGTGTGCATATGTGAGAGCAGGTGTGAACAAGTGTGAGTGCACATGCCACGTGCATGCTTGTCTGGTGGATTCATGATTCGGTACTTGTGAATCAAGGTGGGTGGAACATTTGTGTTTGTGTGCACTGATGTGAGCACAGAATGTAGGTGTGGGTATCGCTACACACATGGGTCTGAAAAGACAGCTGATCTAGGGCATGACTGCTTCAGGGTTAATGGGGAGCCCACACCCATAGCCCCTACTTGTCAGGCCTGGTACTCGTTCCTGTCAGAAGTAAACACTGAGTCTCTCTAGCCTGTTCTATCAGGGTTTCTACTCTCAGGTCACCTCTTGAAGAGTCTCTTCCCATTTTTGGATGCCATGAGACACCCTCCTCTACAGCCATCTCCATCCACAGACCCTGCTGCTTTCCAGAGAGGAAGGAAGGCTTCACAGCTTCCAGGACATGTCCTGGGGTCGCTTCCATAGAAATGAGTTCAGCCCATGAACCAGACAAGGACGTCAGTTACACAGTCTCTCTGCTCACTGACAGAGAGTCAGAGACAAAGAGCCCGAAGGAGCAAGTACACAGGACCATTTCCTTGAGAGGTAAATATCGGGAACTTCTTACCTGAATGGGACTCAGGAGGCCTTACTTCAGACTGGGCTGTTTATTGTCCTGAGGCTGCAGGAAGGCATTTTCCAGCTCTGGCTTCTGTAGGAACAAGTGACTGAAATGAAGAATAAATGTATTTCTACGTCCATATTCTCAACCTGTGACAATGCCCTGTCAGCTTGTTTGTCTTTCCTACCCAGAACATGGAGTTTATTTTTGAATGACCAGGGCCTGCCATAGTCTCTCATATATATAGGATCACACTGATGGTGTCTAACAGTATTGAACCTTGACTAAAACCTAGTTCTGTGCTAGCCACTTCATGTGAATTATTTTTTCCTGTTGGTACAATGATGTAGACCAAGATGACTCTCATCTTTTATGTTTTACTTCAATTGCTTGTATGTGTGTATGTGGTGGTTTTTGAATACAGTGCCTTCAGAAGTTGAAAGAGGGCTGCCAGATCCATTGCTGCAGAAGACAGTTATGAGCCGCCTGGTATGGGTGCTGGGAACCAGAGTCCAGCCCTCTGGAAGAGCAGTCTCTTAACAGCTGAGCCATCTCTCCAGGCCCTTCCCCCTTTAAGAAAAAGATTGTGTGTGTGTGTGTGTGTGTGTGTGTGTGTGTGCGCATGCGTGCCTGCAAACATGTTCAGAGGCCAGGTGTCTTCACCTATCAGTGTCCACCTATTCCTTTGAGGCAGGGATCCTCCAAGAACATAGGGCTCATGTTATTGAAGTCAAGCTAGAAGCCGGCACCTTCCAGAGTCCTCTTGTCTCCACTTGCCCCTGAACTCGGGTTGCAAGGGTTACAGGTGTGTGGGAAGCCCAGCTTCTTATATGGCTCTTGGGATCTCAATTCCAGTTCTCATGATTGCTAAGTAAGTTTTCTTGTTGATCTCTCTAGAGACCTAACTTCCATCTTTCATTTATTTATTTATTTGGACAAGAAGCTTACTGTGGGGTGCATACACTGATAGGAAGTAGACCCCCAAGTGCTCTGGTTCTGAAGATTTAGGACTGGCCCACTCTTCCTTTGGAGGCAGGCTCAGGTGCTCAAGAAGCAAGGGCTACACCTCAGTTCAGTGGAAGGTGCCATTCCCTGCATTCAGATGCTGCCCACATCTGTGTCTGTGAACCCCATCTCAATGTTTGCTTTTCTTCACTCTCCAGGAGGACGTTGCAGAGCCCAACAATATTATGTTTTGAATGATGCTTCTTTGTCTTTCTTATCTTAGTGATTCTTGACTCATGGGTTCCTTTGTTGTTGTTGTTGTTTTGAGACAAGGTTTCTCTGTCTAACTCTGACTGTCCTGGAACTCACTCTGTAGACCAGGCCTTGAATTCTGCCTCCTGAGTGCTGGGATTAAAGGCCTGTGCCATCACTGCCCACCAATTCCTGAGTTCTTTGTGGTATTTATTTATGTATCCTAGATATACTGTCTCTTGGCATTACCAGGTGGTCAGTCAGCACCAGGTTACTGAACAGAAACAAAACAAAACAAAACCTTTTTCTTTTCTATTTCAGAAATCTTTTAACATCTTTCTCAGAAGACAAGTCCCCACGTCAGTGGCAGCGGCAGAGGGTTCTTTTCCAAGACCTCTGCTCAGATCAAGTCAGGATTCTTGACCTTGGTACATAAAAGCATTTCAGGATGAGCCTTTGTGAAGCAGAGTTGAAGTTTATTAAGATTTTAAAATAAAATATTTGTTTCAATTTTGTGTGTATGGGTGTTTTGCTTGCATGCATCTCTTTCACCACTTTTGTACAAATGCCTGTGGGGCCAGAAAAGCATTGGATGCTTTGGATAGGAGTTTCAGACAGTTCTTTGTGAACTGCCTGCTGGATCTGAATGTCCTTTTCCACCGCACCGGTTCAGCATCTAAAAGAATTATTCTCAGGGCAACAATGACCTTCAACCTTCCAAAGGCTTTCAGCTTTCACTAGTCATCATTTTTATTATTGTTTTGTTGCTCTTGGCCTTGTTTTGAGAGCAAGTTTCAAGTAGCCAAAGCTGGCCTCAGACTTAATTCGTAGTTGCGAGCCTTCAATCCTGATCCTTTTACCTCTATTTGCCAAGTGCTAGGTTTGCAGACGGCACCACCACACCTGCTTCTCAAACCATCAGCCAATGTTTCTGCTCTCTTTTTGTTATTGTTGTTTTGTTTCCAAGACAGGGTGTGTGTGTGTGTGTGTGTGTGTGTGTGTGTGTGTGTGTGTAGCTCTGGCTGTCCTGGAACTAGCTCTGCAATGTGACCTTGAACTCAGAAAGCCACCTGCCTCTGCCTCTCAAGTTCTGGGATTAAAGACATGTATCACCATGCTCTGCAAGCAGCTCATTCTTAACCAATAACTGCAGTTAAATATTTTATGAAGAAGCTATCTGGGACAAGACAGCTCTCTCAAACACTGTTGGGACCACACTTGAATCAGGCAGGAAAGGAGGGCACAGATAGCACCCAGTGATGACTGATCTTTACTGAGAGCTTTGCTTTATTTTTAGATTTATCCTTACTATTTTTAATTGTGTGTTTGTGTACATATGAACACAAGTACTCAGAAGACCAGCAGCATTGGGTTCCCCTGGAGCTGGAATCATGGGCAGATGTGAACAGTCCAATGTTGGTGATGGCAACCGAACCTGGTTCCTCTGGAAGGCAGTACATGCAGTACTTGCTCTAACGGAGCCATCTCTCCAGACCAAGAATTTATCTTTAAATGCTAGTGCACAAAACTATGAGTTGAACATTATTGTTTTTTTAAGCTGATTTAATTTATGGTTATTTTTCATACATGTTCTTAGTTTATGAAATGGGGTGTGTAGAAACAGGGAGTGGCTTGTGTAGCCCAGGGTAGCCTTGAAATTGCCAAGTAGCCAAGAATATCCTTGAACTTTTGATTTTCCTTCCTTCATTTCCTGAGTGTTGGAATGACAGGCACATGCTACACATATGAGCATATTGTTTAAAGCAGTGAGGAACTATAAAATCATTTACAAAAGTGTTATTTAGAGAATATTTATATTTAAAAAATCAAAAAATAGTAAGTTCACCTAAAGTCATTTGTTTTAAACAGAGTGCACACACTGAGCAGGGCAAAAAGAGCCACATGCAGGACCATACCAGGCTTCGAGGAGAAAACATGGACTCACCTGGAAGACGCAGAACAGATGTGGCACTGTATGGTAAGCCAATGTATGGTGTGTCCTAGGAGAGAGAGAGACAGAATGGTCCATGTCCTGTGCACGGGGCACAGATGAAGAAGTGAGAGCAGCGAGCAGAGTAAAGTGGGGGCTTCAGCCGCTCAGCAGCGCTGTGAGGTCTGGGCCTGGGCTGCTCATGGCCCTGATGCAGTCAAGGTCTCTGGGGATGGGAGCATTTAATCACAAAATCATATTCTGGGTTGATACACTTTAGTTAACAAGAATAGTTGGTTAGTGCATGGGGACTTCCCCATAACTGTGGACTTCTATGGATTAGGTGTTTGTTCTCGTCTTGGCTGGTTTACAGTCTGAACAGCACTTCCATCATGGAGTCAATTGTGATAAGGTCTAGGGTCCGTTACACTGGCTCACTTCTGCCAGGTTAGCTCTTCCTTAGACAGAAAGGGGTTCCATGTGTCGAGGAGAATACCATATCATTCCCGGACACTGCTCCCTAGCCGGGATTTGAACCCTGACTCTGTCTACCGGTTATGTGAACTGTGGTGAGCACTGAAACTCTTTTCTTGTTTATCAAATGGGTTTGATGACAGAACACACATTCTCTGAGACTCGTAGGATTTTGATATAAAGAAGCACATAGAACAGTGGTGGACATAAAAACAAACCCTCTGCACCTTTGTGTTAAGTGTGAGTTGTAAATGATTAATAGGAAGTCTCCACTGCTTTCTAAAAGTCCTAGACTCATAAAATAGGCTGTTTTGGTGCAAGTGTCTTGGTTATAGCAATTATAATCACAGAAATGTATGTGTGTCAAATGCAGAAAAACAGAGGTTTTGAATGCTGACATCTTATTGCATTTCTGTTATAGCTTCCTGTGTTTAAAAATATACAGTGACACCTAGGAATTTAAGGTGTGCTGCAGGGGTGGGACTTTGAGGGACTAGTTACCGGGGACTCCGGTATACAGCCCTGGCTAGAGTTCCCCGTGAGGTGGAGAGCTGTCCGCTTTCACCTTCCCACAAAGAGACAAGTTCTTTTCAGGCCCATTCCCATTTCTGCTACATTCAACAGGGAGTGAAAGCTGTGCTTTGAGGGATGAACACTTATTCTATTACACAAAAGACTCTGAACTGCAAGGTTCCAGGGCCCCTACCCACATGTTGGGAGGGTGTAAAGCTGTGGGGCGTAAGACTGTAGTGGGGCTTGCTGGGAATTCCTGAGGCCCTGAGGAACTAACATAAGCAAAATCTGGATCTCTTCACTTTAATCCTGATGTGGAGAGGATTCCAAATATGTATATTCAGAAATATGTGAAATCACATTTATTCTATTTATTCTATGTGCTGTCCAATAGAAATAATTGCATGAACCACACATTTGAGTCACACACATTTTAAGTTTTCTAGGAGTCACATTTAAAAAGTAAGAAGAGAAAAGCTGGGGAGATGGATCAGTGGTTAAAATGCAAGCACGGTGACCTTAGTTCAGCTTTCCAACACCCATGTAAAACACAAAAAAGTTGCATGTGTCATCATGTGCCTATGATCTCAGTGCTGGGGTCAGAAACAGCTGGATCCTGGGGGCTCAGCAGTCAGTCAGGAGCTTCCAGGTTTCATGAAAAACTCCATCTCAAAAAATAAGATGGAGAAATGATTGAGGGAAACATCCCCATGCCAGCCTCTGGCCTCCAAGTACGCCCACAAGGATGAGAACACCAGCATACACACATGCATATCACACACACACGCATTCATGCACGCACACACACTCAAAGTGAGGGGAGACAGGTGAAATTAATGTATTGTGTAACGTAGCCAAAATACCATTCATTAGTCATGCAATTGATATAAAATTATAGAGTAAACAGTCATGGTTATTTTTGATAATAGACCTTTAAAATACAACAATTTTATCATAGCTCAATTTGGGCTAGCTACCTTTAAGGTAACAGAGTCACATGCAGCTAATGACTGTCTTACTAGGTTGTCAAATGGTCCGCTGTTAACAAAAAATACCGCGGCATTATGTATTTTTTTTTTTTGAGAACTGGCCTCTAGGTGGAGCTGGTGCTCATTCTGAGCAGTACGAGAAAAATCCCCGGTGGGACTGAAAGGTCAAAAGCAAGGTAATTTATTAGGCTGTCCTTGCCTCAGCCCACTGTTATGAGAAGACTCGTTGTAAGAAACTGCAGTGTGATCCTTCACAAACTACCTGGAACACAATTTGTGGTCTCTCGGAACCAAATGGGTGGCTGGTGCAATAGGCAGCGTGACCCAGCGAACGAGATGGGCGCCGGAACCGGCTGCCTTTGAGCTGCCACGCTTCTAGGTGACAAGGAGAGGCACGTTCCCAGGAGGGAAACTTTTGTGCAAAGCCGTCCTTAGGACTTTAGCTAGCCTAGTAGATAACGCCATGTTTATTAGAGTACAGCATGTACACCTGTGACCTACTTCTTAGGAGGGGAGTTTGAAAGGAAAAGGGAAGTCTACTCATAATTCTTTGTAAAACACTTGTAAAAGACTGCATTTTAGCTGTCTTTCTTGCCCAACCAAACCTTGCAAGCTAGATCGAATTCATTTCACTGCTTTCTTATGGAGAGGTAATGAAACTCATCACATATGTACTTCATATGTAAGAATCGTTGGTCCCCAAATGTGGCATGCTCAGTTTTTCCCCGCGACAGAGCGGTCCACGGAGAGTCCACTGTCTTTACACTGTTCTTACATACTGTAAAATGGATCAAGATTCTGACTATTCATCGGATATATTCATTGACTGCTATTGGATATTGGTCCATAGGCAGCACAGAAAAGTGAGCTGAATGGAGTAGTGAGCAGACAGATCAGACAGTGTACTTATGTTTGATCTGTTGAGAATGTTCCGCTTAAAGTAGAGGTTCTCAACCTTAGTGCTGCAGCCCCTTAACAGTTCCTCATGTTGTGGTGACCCCAAGTATAGAATTATTTTTGTTGTTACTTCATAACTATAGTTTCACTAGTATTATGAATTGTACTATAAACATTTGATATTCAGATATCTGATGGGTGACCCCTGTGAAGCGGCATTCGCCACCTACGGGTCTCGACCCACAGGTTGAGAATACTTCCTCAAGGCGTCTCACTCTCTGGGCTCTGGCCCAGTATGTGATCTGTATCTTTACCCAGACACCAGCATATTACTGGGTCCCAAAATATGGAGGCTGACGGTGGCCACTTTCAATATGGGGACTGAAGAGAACACCCGCTGCCGTATGTGAAAAAAGTTACCAGGTGAGTCCCTGCAACTTGCCTTTTCTGACACTTTGAAGTGGCTGGTGGCCTGCTTTCCCTCCCAGAAGGCAGCCAGTCTCCTCAAGTGTAACCCCCCAGAAGTGACCCAGTTCTATGTCACAGCAGTCCCTATGGGAGGAGCATTGTTCTGCAATCTGGGAGCCAGGCTTGTCAAGAACCCAGCAGCACCTGTTGGCAGAGGCTAGCTGCCACCAGCCCCAATGGCC